ACTAACTGGCTAGTGAGATTGCGATGCTAAATCATCTTATATTGCAAATTTTATTTACATCATTCTCCACAAATTAACATTAAGAACTGGAGTTGTTGTCTCTCTATTTTACAAAATGTAAAGCAACCGCTAAATTGTTTGTCCAATTTGAATTTATATAGCATATATCTTGCAATAAGGTTGTATTTGTTTAGAAAAAAAATATAAGTTTCAGGAATTTGTTTTTTCAATTTTTCAATATTTGTTTTACGTTTAGGTAAAAGGTCAACGAGAAAATGATAAAGTACTTTTTGAAAAAATGTTTTCCTAGTTAAAAAAGAAGAAAACACTTTTTCTTCTTATGAGCTGTCTCGCTCTCACTTTTCTTACCTTTCTCTCGATATATTTTAACAATTCTTTCTCTATAATTTTTAAATTTAAAATATATCAAATTAAAATTTAATTATTCCTTATCAATTATTTAATTTTTTTTCTCTATTTCTACTAATATTTGATTTTTTGATTTATAGATACATTAAATATTCTTAAAAATCATTTTTACACTTTAAAATTATTTTTATAATAAATATTTCAATAATTTATCTCTATTTTTTTACTATTATCTCAACACCACCTAAATTATACTTAAATGATTGAAAATGATTATTACAAGACTTTAATTTTTTATTAAAAAAAATTAAAATTAATTGATTTATTAATAAATACATTATTTTTTTTAACTCTATTCATTTGCAACTAAATCAATAATTTATAATTTTAATCAGTTGTAAAATTTATTGGTAATTGTAGTGAATAATTGATTACAAATTATTCCAACATTAATATTTTGAAACCAAATGAATAATTATCTACAAATGATAACTAATGATTTATAAAGCTATTTTTTAGACTAAATTATCAGTCCAATTTTTTTAAAAAAATTCTTAATTGAGTTACCAAAATAATAATACTAGGATTAATTAGAATTATTTTTTTTACTAAATATGAATATTGACTTGATTTTGTCACGGATAATTTTGATGAATTAGTTTGATGGTTAAAAAAGTATATTTTATTTTTTGAATTAAAATTTTAGAATCAGTATTTATAAAAATTTATTAAATTTTTCTAAATGTATCTTATATTTTGAAATTATGAATATATTTTTTTGAAATTTTCTCAAACTTGTTAATATAACAATCATATATTGTTTTTATATTTTAATTTTCTGTATCAAATAAACATTAATATATTTTATAGTAATTTTTTATGTAATTGGCAAATGGTAAAAAAATATTTTTCTAAAAAATAGCTTATTTAAGAATTAATTTGTTTATAAAAGTTTTTTTTTTTTCAAACAAACGAAGCCTAAAGAAAACAAAGTAACTTAGGGCAATCAAAGTTATGTACGCAGCAGACTGGGGTACCACACTAATAAATGGAGAATACGAATGTCTGGACGGAGTAAATGGGAGACATGTTGGTCACATCCAATTTTGGATGTTTCTTGCAAATTGCTAGACAATACCTGCATTGGGTGCAAAAATTATTTGATAGGTGCATAGAACTGATAGAACCTTAGCCAATACCATTAACTTGGACCAGTTCCTACCAAAGTGGAGTTAATAATGAATACTGTCCAAAAGAAATCCATTGGGATGCTTGTAGGTGGGTACCTTGCTGAATGTAATTGTGGAAGTGATTTGGCGTGTCTAACAGTAACTCACGAAGATGCCTCTGTCAGTGGATAATTTGGATAATTGCATAAAAACTCCGACTTTTAACTTTTTCTCAATCAAATATATAAATTTTAATTATTTTTGTTTGAATACATTAATTTTTTTAAAATTATCACTTAAATACTTTTGTCAATTTCTTCATTAACCGATCACATGTTTGAATGCTAAATTATAATTTCCTTTTTTTTTTTAATAAAGCTTTCTCCTCAATTATTCTATAATTTCAAAATTTGATTAAAAATTTAAAAAATTATTTTTTAGCTATTAAATCCTAAACTAAACTCAGTTAGGTTTACTATTTTTTTTAAAAAAAAATCAATTAGATTTTTAGGAGTGAAAATTAAATAAAAATACAAATAAATCTTTTTGATGAAAAAACTCAAATTTGTTTCTTTTAATTTTCATGCCCAAAATCTTTAACAACAAACCTAATTGAGTTTAGTTTGAGATTTTATAACTAAAAAATAATTTTTGTTTAATTCTTTGTCAAATTTTAAAATAGTAGAATAATTTGGAGAAAAATTTTATTGCAACAAAAAAGATAAAAATATAATTTTATATTCAAACACGTCATTAATTAACGAAAAAATTAACAAAAGTACTTGATTGACACTTTTGAAAAAGTCAATATCCTCATAAAAAAATAAAGTTCCCATACTTAATAGAGAAAAGAAGACAAAATTATAGTTTAGTGTTCCAAAGATGACGAACGCATCGGTAGTTAATAAAAAAATTGACAAAAATATTTGATTAGTTGTTTTGAAAAAATTAGTATAGTCAAATGAAAAAAAAATAAAGTTCATGTACTTCAGAAAAATTAAAAATTAGCATACTTATAATACAAAAATAACTTGAAATTAAACATTTATCTACTTTCAAACTGTTTTCAAGGCATGCTATCCTGAATTTTCCGATTATTAAATTGGAGGCCATAGTCATGGTCTTTACCTTGAAAAATTTATTCAAATCCCCATCCCGAAATCCATTGAATTTATTAAACGGAGAGAGAGAGGGGCATACTTATAATACAAAAATAACTTGAAATTAAACATTTATCTACTTTCAAACTGTTTTCAAGGCATGCTATCCTAAATTTTCGATTATTAAATTGGAGGCCATAGTCATGGTCTTTACCTTGAAAAATTTATTCAAATCCCCATCCCGAAATCCATTGAATTTATTAAATGGAGAGAGAGAGAGAGAGAGAGAGAGGAAATCATTCATGTCAATTGCTTAATTTCTTGCGTTGATATTTTTCTCCTTCTCGAGTGGCTAAATTACAAGTAGCGTTTCCTTCTCTCAAGTCTTAATTAGTTTAACCGAGTTTAACTTTGAGGACAAGTTAAATTCATTTTGTCATGCAAAAAAATGTTAAAAACTAATTGGGAAGTCATTGCAAGCAAACGAGGAAGAAGAACTAATTACTCATACTCGTAAGATATTAATTTCTCCACGTAATAATACCATACTTGAGAGATTTGGCTCCTAAAACGATCATCTACCAAAGTATATTAAAAACATGCCGATATCTTCTCTCCTTATAATCATTTGCCATCACGACGGAATCGGCTAAATCCAAGACCTTTATGTCTCTGCAATTGCTAGCTATATGAAAGGTCTCGGCCATATGATTCCACAACAACATTCCGCACAAGTTCGGTGACCGTATTCTACCGGGGCCAAACTCTTGTTCGGTAATGTAGCTCCGAGCCAAAATTGGGGACGCGAGGCCAAAATTGACTCCATCAATCTAATCTTCTGGGTTGATGTTTATGTTGAAACTTGTGAATGTGCAATGAGATTCATAATATAATATATGGAATTATCGCTTTTGTCATATCCATTTGCCACCAATATCAATTATAATTGTGCTTATGTCATTTCTACTTCATAACCCTCGGTATCTAGATATATTCCATTTACTTATGATAGGAAAAAAATAAAAAAATAAAAAAAATGATTCGGAGTTTGGACTATTAGAAATATTATTTCACCAGCCTACTAAGTTGGACTCGAAGTCTGGAAGTGATATGTTTGGTTGCCTCCTCCCAATAGTGGGGTCCGGGGATAGGTAAAAATTATCGCCTTCGGGACATCACCATTCAATTGCATGAGTCCGTGTCTATTGGAGGGCATAGGCTGTGTGAGGATTGAGAATCACTTAATTCCTCTCGGTGTTGGAATGGGCAAAAGTACTACAAAGTAGGATTTTGGTGCAAGTCCTAAAAATATGCCCAGGATCTCATTCCATGAGTCCGCGTATGCCTAACTAAGATGATTTATAAAATGGAAATTGCCGTGTGTTGGAGGGTAGGCTGTGTTTTTAGAAAAGAACCTTTACGACCAAAGATTCATAAAAGGGAAAACCTGACAATCAATCATATTCCTTCTCTGTTTTGTTCCGCTCCAAAAAGTGCGAGTTCCATTTCATGTTTTCGGCTATGCACTTCGCTAGCACACAATATTTACATCTATCAGTATGTTTTCTTTGCAGAACACGCTAAACTAGGGACAAGCATTATCATCATCCCAATGCCATCATTTGCCTCCGCGTATAATAGAAGTCTCACAATTAAATCTTACAAGGAGCAAATCGATCATATATGCATTCTAACTCTAACAAATATCTTCCAGAATCATGTTGAAGCTATACTAAAATCAAGGATCGGATGATCATTCCCAACATTTGAAGAATAAAGTGAAATGCCAAATTATTTCCTAACGACTAGCTCTATGAAAATAATCCCAGTCCCATTCATTTACTCGGCAAATGCTCGTGTAAATATTCCTAGGCCCCGAAAGACTAGGGTAGCCCACATTACTAGAAAATCATCATTTTGTCAAAATTACAATAAAAATGCATTCATTCGGAAATGGTGTTCATACAAGTTGCTAATTCACTCTGTCAACTTTCAATTTAGTGCCATCAAGATTACAAATTAAGGTTTATGAGGCATTGCAATTATCATGGAAGTTCAAAAGAAATAGACAGACTTTCACTCACTCGAAGTAGCAAGTTAGCTAATCACCTTTAGCGTTACTACGACTAGCGATTACTCGTACAGGAAGGAAGCTGGTTACAACTAAGCATGCGTATCATCAAATTGGAGATCCAAGTGTTTGAATTAGCCTTAAAGACACGGACGCAATGTATATAGCTAAGAGACCTCCTCCCAATAATCCATCCAGCCTTATGTTTCTCCTTGGTAAAACAACAAGTGCCCAAAGCAAGCCACCTACCAAAAATCCTATTGTCTCCCACGAGATATGGATCTTTTGGGATCACAACAGTGATGGGTAGGAATACCGAGCTGAGCAAACCGGAGACAATCCCGGACCAAAAAGGATGTTGAAGATGGGACTCGCATAACGACTCGATATAGCGACTTGTGTACCTTCGGGGCTACCATTCGCAGCCAATATCAAATTTGTTATCAAATCACCAATTGAATTTCCCCGTGCAAGAACCGTTAGTCCTAGTATAGAAGGACTTATTCCAAATACATACCCAAGTGAAACTCACAAGCCTACCAATTCCCGAGCTATAATATAACTCCATGTCACACTCATTACGAACCCTCCCGCTAGCCAAGGAAGTAAGCACTTCGCGGTGGACTTGACTTCTCGGTTGTTGCATACGCGAGAACCCCAAATGTCATTCCAAACATCAACCCAATTCCATATACCATTAGACTTTTGTTGAAGGTGGCACTATCATCTTGGGCATTCCAAAGAGTCGATAAGAGAACAGGTGCCAATGTCATCGAAGCAACTGCGGTTGGCTTGGACCATCTCTTTTCACAAACAACGGAACTCGTCAATCTCCCAGGTAAGGAAAGAGGCATCTCGAGGATCCGGAGGAGCATACTACAAGGAGCCGATAATCGTACGCGAAGCAACATTTGTTCATTTCTACTTCGGTACCACATTCTAAACCACATTCCTTCAAATAATTTTGCTCCCTTTTTCCATGCTGCTTAAAATTGGTACATTCAAATCACTGCCATAGCTTGAATTAGCGTCCCTTTCACTTTCATTTCCACCATCATTCCAAAGGACTTGTGAGAAGTAAACAACCATCACATAAACAATATACATCGACAAAAACCCCACTGCACCCCAAAGATTGATCTTGCCATAAATCAAGATGAAAATTAAAGATGCAATAACTAAAAGGAAAAAGCAAACATCCCTAACAAAGGAACCCCCGTTGACTCTAAATTCTTCTTGCTTCGCCAAAATGCCGATGATTCCAACCACAACACAAGTAACAAAGGTAGCACCACCTAAGTATCGTATTAATGCCAACGTCGGATGTCCCATCACCTATAAAAGACACCGAGCTAGCAAAAACATCGAGGGCACCGTTGCCAAGTGAAAGGAGGGTAACCCTATAAATTATAGGAGACAAATTCAACGAACTTAGACAAGTTTTCAAGTGAAGAACAAAAGTATTCGAAGCGAGTGTTCCCCAACGAGATAGAACAAGTACAAAAAGCCAAAGAAAAGAAAGACAATAGCCCAACAGAGGAAATCTTCCAAGATTGCAATAGAAAAGATAAAGATAGTCAATATAGCCTTGAGAGACATATGGACTATTTGATTTAAGGTAAAAGCACTTGGCTTTGTAGTCATCTAGAATATGCAACCCCCGGCAATCTTGCCGACCATATTCCTTGAAAGGTTGAGAACCGCTCACCATAAAAATTTCAGCGAGAATTGAATTGCATAATAAAAAAACACATGCCACCAAGAGAAAAGAGATATTTAAGAATAGAACATATCTTTTGTGCTCGGATATGGAGACCATGGTACCCATTAGAGGAAACTCAATCAATTTCTCTCTTCAACACAAAAATGCGTAATTCAAAATTCGATCAAAGAACGAGGTCTATGATCATTCAACTTCTAGTTTCATCTAAGACAACATTTTAGCCAAATTTGAACGCAACAAAATGAGAGAAAGAGATAAAGAAACTAAGGAATCAACTTAATCAAACCCCTTCCCGGATAACAAGATTGTACTAAATCAAGGATAAAGAACTGGGTATAGGACGATAAATGCGGATAGACCGATACAAAAAACTCCTTTTGAGGCTAAAATTTGGTTGAGAAATGAAGACCATTAGGTTAGACCGACTGCAACAAAACTAACCTCTTTGATGGTATAAGTTTTGAGGAATGCAAAAGAGAGGAATCTCCCGGTTTCCGGTTGTGATTTGTTTGGGCAAAGCAAAGAATCCGAACTCGGACCAGAGTAAGCGAAGTCACGGACTTCATACAACGTGTGAGAGAATCATAACTGTTCCATTATAAAGACACGGTTAAGGAAAGACTGGTACACTTGTCTCATGGATGCAACATCACATCAACTCGTGAAAAATGGAGGGCCCAAAAGTTTGTGTCAAGTTGCTCGGACGTTTCTGTTGCATGAAAGGAGTATCCGACTTTAAGCATGTGGTCCTTATGTGTATCACTCTCAATGGCACAAGAAAGCGTCTCCACGAACACCTAACATAATAACCAAAGAGATTTTGGTTTGTTTTGTTTTATGTTTTCCATTACTATGTATATTTTCTCATATGGAGAAACAACATTAAAGAGTTTTTTTTTTTTAGGTAAAGTTGTTTTAAATTTATTTATATAGTTTTTGCTATAGGATTCCAATACTTAAGCATTAATCCATGCCGACTTTTTTCTTAATTTTATAATTTAATTTACTAAACTAATGTAATCAATGGCAATTTAGGTCAACTAATTAATAAAATTACCATAATAATATAAGGTGATATATAGTTTCAATCCATCTATTCTCTTATAAATTTGGATACCTCTCTTGTTTTAACTTTTCTAATTTACCAAACTTTTAAAAATATTAATCACCTTCTCAAATTAATGCTTTTATTTTATGACCATTATCAACTTTTAATAAATCTTCACATCGATTGGTGCGGATTTCAATGACCTTTTTTCTTTAATTGTTCTTATACGTTTTATTTACAACCCTAACTTCCGAGTTAATTTTCTATATTTTATACTTGCTTCTAACATTGAGTTTTTACGCGAAAAATATTTATTTAATTTTCAAGATAAAATAAATTTCACTCAAAACTAAAGAAATAAATTACGCATGCCTATATATTTCTTATAAAAAAAAATATATATGCCTATTGTTTCATCTGTCAAATTTCTAATCAAAACCCATATGATAGAATAACAATTCTTCAACCCTATGGTTTTGATGATGAGTGAATATCCAAAGCACATGACATCTTAGTAAGTTATGATGATAGTGAACATCACAATAGTTAATTATACATGATCTTAATTTTCTTTGTAATCCCAGTACACTCATTATTGTTGTTTTCTCTTTATAATTCTTTGAATTCGTTTTTATCTCATCTTTTCCTATCAATTACCAAACCATTACAATTCAAGAGTGTGCTTGTTTAAAGCAACCATGGAAAGCATTAGAGATGTACTCAAATTTTATTAGAGAAGAATAGTTGGATTGAAACTAATTTTATTAATGAGTTAACCTTAATTAATATTGATTATATTAGTTTAGTAAATTAAATTAGGAAAAAACAGGTCTTCATGTATTAATGCTTAGGTTACATTAGTTTAGTAAATTAAATTAGGAAAGAAAAGGTTGTCATGAATTAATGTTTAGTGGAATATACCTTAGCATGGTAAATAAATTTAACACATGCACGTACAATCCTATTTTGGAAAAAAAGAAAAAAAAATAGAAGTACGCTAACGTGGAAAAAAACTCCATATAAATTAACTTATGTGGCTGCCATAGAATTGGGAACTTGAGTGATCTATAGCCATACCTGCCAAATTCATCCGTACGTGTCCCATTAATTAAATTAATTAATTACACGTTGTCGACTACACCAAATCCCAAATAATTAATATATATCGATTTTAATTAGCTTATCTTCTAAGAAAACTATAGTGGCGCCCGACATACATGTCTTGAAACAAGTTGGAAGTAAAAATTGAAAATGATTCTTTTACTTATAAACCGATAAAACAATGAAAAAGAAAGCGTAGATATGTTCTCCAATAGGAAATTAAAGGAGGTAGACAAATGCCAAAACCATCAAGTCCTGCCCTTTTCAAAATGCCTTACTATGTATATATAATTAATGAAGTTGGAGGAAAGAAATCATAAATGGATCACAAGATTCCTACTTTGCATGTTGTATCTTAATTTTTACGTTGTCCAAATGAGAGGGCGAACGCATAAAGTCAATGATTTCACATTGTGAATTTATCTAACTCAGGACTTTATAACATCGATCATTCATTTGGATATTGTGGATTAAATTAATTTACTTCCAAGTGGCAATTTAGAACTCACGTGTCGTTTTCAAATAGGATGTCTTATTAATTCCGGCTAATCAGTGCATCACAGCCCAAAAGTTGAGAAATATTTTAATGACTATATAAAAATAAATTTCTTTTCATCATACACTAATATATAATTTCGAAATTGAAATGAAGAAGAAAAGCATGCTGCATGCAGCTTATGCCAAACTGCAAGCATGATTATTGCCTTCTCTTTGTTAATTAGGGTTTTTTGCAATAACTAGTTCTGCTGACTCATAACTGATGGTAGCCCAAAGCCACTCCACTCCAATATCTCATTTTTATGTTTTTCTTTTTTCTTTTGCAATGTATCTTGTTAAATTAGACTGTTTTTTGTTTCCTTATTCCATCATGAAGGACCTACCATTTCGTTTACAGGACAATTTTTTTATCCTCTTACTTCTTTTGAGGTTTGATATTAAAATCCCACTCTTAACCCTGGAGGTCTTTGATTGGGAGGGTTGCGGACCGTGACAGAAGAAAAGACAAGTGTCTTTATTTCCTCCAATAGTTTTAAATATGCCAAATTGTAAGATATAGAAAAGGTTAACTGGATTATCAACCGACGGTGACGAAGGAGACAGCATTTTACCTTATGTTGCCGTCAACTCTAGGAACAGTGAGAGAATCAAATTTCCTTTCATAGGTCGTTTTAGCTGCTTCAATAAACTTTGTCATTTACCGTTCTGGTGAAAATGATGTTGATAATATATGTGGAGACCACTTCAGCATCCGATTAACGAGTTATCTTCCTGTTTGGGGCCAAATTGGAGGTGCCAAACACTGTCTTCAAAAAAAAAAAAAAAAACTGAAAAGGGATTTTTTTTTTTAAACTTCTATTTTTATCCAACACTTTTTGTCAGTCATCATTATAAGTCTATAACTACAACTACGTACGATTAAGCTATACCTTTAATCACAAACCAATCGTTAACCAAACACACCCTTAAAAAATATATATATGTTCAGTTTGATAATCTTCTCTGCTATCCCAAAAAAGCAGAATAAAATAAAAAATCACACTTCGACCCTTATTGGATATAATCATTAATTAAGTAGTAGTTAAGAGTAATTAAGGCTCAAGTCCGTCTTAAACAACCTGGACTTTCCGTTACAATGAGGTTAGACCCGAGCATTGCGATTCAAAACTAATATAAACGGGCTTAAGAGGCCCGAAACAGATAGGTTCAATTGTCTTCTCAATCCAATATTTTTTATGAATTAACTAGTTAGATACCCACGCTACCTTGCGATCGGACAACCGTTATATAAGTAAGGTTAATGATTCGTATAATGTGATGTGAGTAGAAATTTTATTTATAGCGATTAATATAAATCGAATCTATATATTGTACCTAATTGTTTGATTTATATATATTTATTATCAAAATAATTTATAATATTAGCATAAAAATTTGTATTTGAATAATTGAGAGATTCTTTCAAAACATTAATTAAATTATTTTATTTAAAAATACATATTTTAGAATATAAAAAAATAAATAACAAATAATCGGTGTTATCTATGCGAGATATGGAATTAATTTCTAACAAAACTATATATATATATATATATATATATATATAAGCAAATAAAATCTATAAATTCTTTTTTAACTAATTATTAATTTTTTTAAAAAAATTGAGTCAAACTATCTAAGACACATTTTTAGTTATCTCTTTCTCTCATCGAATTTATACATACAACCACACTAGTCTCATTTAAAAATTATATAAAAAACGAGTTAATCGTATAAATAATAATAATATATTTTTAAAAATAACACAATTGCGTTCCAAAATTTTATTTCAAAATTCATTTATAAAAAAATTTATTAACCGATAAAATTATATCAAAAAATTAAAAAATTAATCGGATGAGAATTTTAATAAGAAACAAACAATTAAAGAAATAAAATTTAAAAAATAAGAATAATATATATATATATATATATCCAAACTAAAATATTAAAAAATATATCTTATATATTCTATTACGTCAAACTAAATGTAAAACTAAAAAAAAATAATGATCTATTTTATATATTTTCACACCTAATTTCATGATAAAAAAATATAAAAATAAATTATTAGGAGATAAATAAAAAAAAAAAAGGGAAAAGAGGGCGGATGTGCGGCTAGCCTAGCCCGAGCCTAATGATGGTGAGTCCGTGACTAGGCTCGTGCGCCAAGTTGCTAGAGCCTACTCCACTCCGGGCTTGTATCATTTAAAAACGATAAAAAAAACAATTAATCGTATAAATAATAATAATATATTTTTAAAAATAACACAGTCGTGTTTTAAAATTTTATTTCAAAATTCATTTATAAAAAAAAATTACTAACCATAAAAATTATATTAAAAAATTAATCGGATGAGAATTTTAATAAGAAACAAACAATTAAAGAAATAAAATTTAAACAATAAGAATTATATATATATCCAAACTAAAATATTAAAAAATATATCATATATATTCTATCACGTCAAACTAAATTTAAAATTAAAAAAATAATGATCTATTTTTTATATTTTCACACCTAATTTCATGATAAAAAATATAAAAATAAATTATCGAAAGAAAAAACAAGAAAAAAAAGGGCAAAGAGGGCGGATGTGCAGCCAGCCCAATGATGGTGGGTCCGTGAGCTAGGGTGCTCCAGCCTCCTCCACTCCGAGCTTGGGCTGCTGGCAGCCCAAAGAAAAAAAAGGGTTAGACATGTGCCAGTCCAAGAAAAAAGAAAAAGAAAAATAAAACATTGTAACTTTTGATGAGCTTGAAGTTGTTGGAAGCTTCGTAGAAAAATTGAAGGTCCATTTCCAGACCCTAAATAAATCAATATTGGCATTATTTTTTTCTCCTAAACACCTTCAAATGACCAAAATAAAGTCGACAAACACTTTTAAGGCCTTAAAACTCATTTTAATGAACATTAAAAAACAAAAATAATCAAATTGGATTTCTTTTCTTTCTCTTTTTTTGGCTTCGATTTACATCCTCTCATAATTTAATGGTTTAAAACTACTATGAACAAACTCAACTCTCAAAGATAAAAAAATCTAATAGAGTTTTACCGATCAAAGTGGCAGAAATAAGGTTGACCAATGCTTTCTCTCTCCTCCTGTCTCTCTCTTCTTTCTTCTCTCCTCTCTACACTCAAAGACCAAAATTTTTCAGAAAATAAAGATATAGATTAAAACAAAAAGTTTGAAAATATTAAGGACCAAATTATAAAAATTTGCATAGTTTTCATATTGTTGCCTACAAAAATTTAAAGAAATAAACAAAAAGCCAAACTACAGTAAATGAACAGTTCTTTTAATTTTTTTTTTTACAATTTATGCTAGCAACAAAAGTACCTTACCCAAAATTTCTTTACAATTGTAGCCCTGCCACCTGCTCATATATTGGTACAAGAAAATCGTTTCTCTTTACTCAAATTTCTGTCTCTTTCTTATTAAAAAATAACTTTTTTTTATTTTCAAAACTTATTGTCATTTTAAAAAAAAAAAACAAAAGAAAGTAAGTTTTCATATCTTATTTTCAATTAAAAAAAATGAAGCCGATACCAAATATCTCCTTAATTATCTCATAATCTGATTCTTATGGCTCATTCCTATTAAAAAAAAATTTAAAAATTATTTTCAATTTTATTTTTTAAAATGAAAAACAAAAACAAATAAATTTTCATGTGTTATTCTAAATTTTGAAATCAGAAAAAGAAAGCAAAAACCAAAAATAGAAAACAAAACTGATACCAAACAGGCCGTCTCATAATCTAATTTAAAAAATAATAAAAGTTTGGGCCTCAAATGTTTCGGGCTTTAGTTTGCTATTGAAACTCAAATCCAGGAAGGCCACGACCCACATATAAAAGAGGATCTCATCTGACCCACCATTCACCAAACGTTTCAAGCCCTCTGCATCGTTAAAATCGAACGAGAGGTACAAAAATTTAAGCTCAAAAAGGGTAAAAAGAAACAACAAAACAGAATGGATTTCTCCTAAGCTCTCCTCTCCTTTTCATATAAACATCGAAGTTTGAATTTTTGGTTTTTGTTGAATTCGAGAATTGTTACATAAGAGGCTGATAGCTCTGTATTGTATTGGTTTATAGTAGTTTTTTGGAGTTCAATGGATTCCACAATTACAATTAGGTCGTCAATTATTTTGCCCATTTCTACTTCTTCTTCACCAAAATTATCAAATATACAAAGGAATAATAATAAGATTGGATATGGGTTGAGATTCAGTGGAAATGGGTGCATCACAAAAATCGTTGCCATCATTCCTAATGGCTCTGTTTCTCCTTCTGCTTCTTCTCATGGGGTTAGTCTTTTTTTTTTTTTTTTTTTTTCTGTTCTCAATTGTATTGACATCTAGATGATCACTTGCTATTAATTTTTTTTTTTTTTGGTTATTTTCTTCTGTGTATTAACAAATTTTGGCATGAGTGCTGTTGTTCACTTGCATTTCTCATTCTTAAAATGAGAGGATAACCAATGTCTAGGCCGGCGTTAGGATTTATAGAAAGGTGTAATGTAGAATAAACAAGTAAGGGAATGCTATATAAATTGATGAATTTATCAATTTTTTACTGCCAAAATGATTAAGAGATTCAAATGATTTTGCTGGTATGTTTTGTTTATATGTGAATGAGTTTCATGGGTGCTAATTATTGTATGATGATTGTCATGCTGTCGATTTTTCATCTTTATGTGTTTTCCAATTCACAAGTTCCTTAGATTTTTTTTTTTTTCTTAAGGAGTCAAGTTCGGTGGGAGAAGTGCGCAGGGGAAGAAGCAGTTATGAATCTCTGTTTTGTTACAACAAGCCTATACCCGAGGAGAGAATTGAGGAGCCTGTTGGCACTTCATTGGCTGAAAAAGTAATTGGAGATAAACCTCGATGCACTCATTGCCAAGCCAAAGGCGCAGTTCTTTGCACCACTTGCACTGGTTCAGGCTTATATGTTGACTCTATATTGGAAAGCCAGGGCATCATTGTCAAGGTCCGGTGCTTAGGTAAATTTGCTTTCTCTTCACAGAGCATATTCTAACAGATGCACTATACTTGTACATTCCCTTATTTGAATTCCACCGAGCACTCCTATACCCCCAATTTGAGTTGTGGTTATTTTAGGATCTTCTGGATCCAAACATGAAGTTCCATACCATATTATGCTGCCAATGAACTTACTTTGATAATGGATTTAGCATCCTTCACTATGACAAGTGACTAGTACTGGGAGCAACTCTTGAAATAGCTGCCTTAGAAAATACCTGCTTTCGTATTTAAAGGAAAGCCTCGGCTGATATGAAACTAGAATTTATTTCCTTCTGTTTTTCTATCCTTCTCATTTTTGTTTTTTATTTCTCAGATTAGGACAATAGTTTAGTTTTCAGCTTATTGCTTTTGTGTTGCTGCTACTGCCACTGTCTTGGGTATGGCTCACTCTTATGGCTTTTGACCACCCATTACTAATTTGTCCTGCTTTGACAATTCGTTTCTTTTTCGGTTTTTTCTGACCCAGAAAACTAATATTATTGAGAAATGGACATTTCTGGTCCTTTTCCCCTTTCTTCTTACGAGAATTAGAGTTCATTTTTATTGTTTTTTCATTTTTTTTTTTAAAGAACTGATTTAGGTTCTTCTTATAATGCACTCATTTCCATCTTCATTTTTCACCTTCTTTGAACTCAATTTAAACATGTTGATTCTTGCCACAGTTTAGTTGGGATCATATTTATCAACTGGTCAGCACTTTCTTTTCTAATTTAGTTGTGTGTGAGAAATTCACTTTTTATATTTTGAATGTGATCACAGTATGAAATTTAAGAAATAATTCTCTGATTTATCTTCTTAGCTGTGATGAATTCATGGCATTGGTTCTTCCTCTTATTGTTGATAGAAGTAATTTTCTGATTTAGGCACTTAACTGTGATGGAATCCATTGCATTAGTTCTCCCTCTAATGCTTGATCGAATCTTAGCTTTAAGGAAAAGATTTATCACTTACTCAAATGAGCTCCTTTTTGTACCCTAGATTCCATGGTAATGCCTTAATCAGTTATGTTTAAAGCACAGCAAGGTGTTCATAAAGCTCAAAGCTCCAAAACAAAAAGATTTTGCTCTTAAGAGTGCAAGACACGTTTATTTTTGAAGCTTCCAAGCACTAAAAATAACCATTTGTTTTCGTGCAAAATTTAGTTTACTTGACAAATTATTATGTCTGGTGAAGATCCACACAGAATAGTATGTTAATTGGTCACCAGTTATTGGTGAAACCATTTTATTGTCGCTGCAAACCATGGTCATCATCCAAACCTACTAATTTTGTACAAATTGAACAATGTGCTTACTTTCCAGGCTAATTGGCTTAGTCAATTACTTTTTTGTTTGTTTCTTGAAGCTTATCAGCCTCATGTCACAAGTCTTTTCTCTGGAAATTAATAATTTTTGTATTTCGAGAAAGTGCAATTTACTTTTGTTCTGGCTTGTGCAAGTTCTTTGTGCATAAGCTCTACAGGACCTTTTCAGTGTGTTAGCCTTTAAACAAAGTCTATAATGTCAGTCTTGAGTAGAACTGATTCTGATGTAATGCTACTATAGAAGAAAACTTGTTTACCACAATACTGGACAATTATTGCTTGTGAGAAGATTCCTTCCTGCAAAATAACCCAATCAATTACCTGTTTAGGATTCCTTTTTCTCCCCAATGAACTTAATTTATTACTTTAAATTTTTATTCATATTTGTTATTAAGTTCAACTACTGAGAAGATATGTTTTTGCGAAGTAAATAAAGTCTTTTTTTTTTTCTTCTTTTTTTGTGGTAGAGTGATGGCCAGCTGTAAACTTGGGTTTTTAGTGTGGGAAGAGCATCATCTATTTGCCACTAGACCACTTTTTTTTTTGGGTGCATAGGAGAAGTTCTAACTTGAGACCTCTTTAAGGGAGGGGGCACGCTAATGCCAGTTGAGCTACAGCTCATTGGCCACTACAGCACTTGTTGATCCTCATTATTTTTCCTACTTTATTACTAAGTATGATCTCACAATTCAAATTTGTACTCCCACAATGGCTCTGCTCTCTTATACATTTGCAATATTGCATGCATAATTTGGAATACATGCATATGGTTTTTCCTGTATTAATCTTTTGACAGTGCTTGTTCTGTGAAATCATCTCGGTAATTATCAAAGACCATCCCTAGATTGGATCTAGGAAGTTCACAATGTAATTTCTTGAAGGCTATCGAGTGTGGTCTTACAACTGGATGCCCTGTTGTCATAGGTTTATTAGTTTTAGTCATATTAGGATGATATTATTAGGTTTGCTGTGACTTTACTCCGAGGAGTTTTTTTTTCAAGGAATAAATCTGTCTTATTATTGGAAAAACTAAATAGCAACTAAATTCTGGTGTTCTCATCTGATGGTTTGTAATTATAATGATTGAAAGTGCAGAATATGAGTGTTAAACCTCAAGTTATACTGTCATGTTATTGGACGTTAGAGTATCTCCATGCAATTTGAGAAGTAATAAATCTTGACTAGCTCGGTCAATAGTCGTGCATGGGCCTTGGCCTTGTTTATGATTGCTGCATGCTACTTCATAGTGGTAGCATGGTAGCTGATTGGTGTTTATTTTGATATGCTTGTTATGTATGGCAAAGAAAATGATCCTATTTGATATTTGTTTTTGTAGGTTGTGGTGGAACAGGAAACATCATGTGCTCATACTGTGGGGGCCGAGGTCATGTTGGATCGAAGTAACTTTTGCGTTTTGCTTTCTCATTGCATTTTGTTGTACCATTCTTGCTGTAACATTTCATGTTGTCATAGTTGTTGTAGTTATGTAGCCTTGCAATCTTGTATTAAAGTTTTTGTGTATTTGACCTTTTCATTTATCAATGGTATTCTTCCCCTATGATTTATTCCTTATTGATTTTTTGAATGGTCCTGATTTTTAGTCACTTTATAGGCAAATTATTGATTTTACTGTTTCCATTTCCCTTCCATTCAGTCGATTCAACAATATGTTGCATCCGTTGATGTTGTTCCTCCTTGGAAAGTATTGAAAATGGAGTTTGAAAGTTATGGAGTTTAAAATAGTTTCTTGACATGATTATACTTGAGATCAAATTTTGGTAGATACGATTTGTACTGCGTTGGAATTTGATCCTTTGTGACCTGAAATCTACTGCTGTCTGAAGTGTGACCATTGTAAGCATTGAATCCAAGTGAAATTCAATATTTTTTCACGAGCAAGAGAACTTGGGTAGATTATATTGAATCTAAAAACGGACCTTGTATGTCATTTACAGGACAAGTAATCTTTTACAAACAAAAAATTTGTAATTCTAACATGTTTGCAGAATCACATGCCTTTTAACATGAATTGATGTTGTCTAGTCTAGTCTAGGTGGTATGTCTGGTGCAAATTTTCTATCTACAACAATGAATCTTGAGTCAGCAAGCTAGATGAAGCTAGCTAGCTAGCTTCTTGATCGTTAAGCTCCATATCTTTGAAACTCTTGAATGCGAAATAGAATAGTTGGGTCAAGCCGTGTGCTCTGCGGGTTCTCTGCGTAAGCCACGTAGTAAGCTGAAACGCATGATTGTGGCCATGCCACTGCTATCCGACACTGCATTCACAAAAATTGTCATGGGAATTAAGTCAGTTTCTGAGTATTGTTGTAAGAAATGTTTCCAATTCTAAAGGTAGGCTGATCTCTCACCATGAAGTAGCCAATCAGAAATGCATAAATTGACACTTCTGTAGCGTAATCTTTATGAAGTGCAAAAGTCCATGTTCCTCCAACCAGAGTGCATATCGCACCTCCTGCCATCCCACATAGAAAACAGAAAGACCCTGTCAGATCTGTGTCTATTATAGGTTCCAACTCAGCTCTCCTGAGCATCTCCCATGTATCCCTGGATGCCTGCACAAACCCTTTATTATAAACCCCTAGTTGCACAAGACCCCACCGGTTCCCATAGTTAACCAGTGTTGCACCAACAGCAGCATAACAACTAGCGCAGGAAAACATGAACTCGTCTGTGCCCCCTGCAATCAAACCAATTGCTCTGGCTGAACCACGGATTACGGTAATAATCGGCACCAGGACTGAGCTGATGCACACGCTTCCCATTGAGTACTTGTTTGTGTCCCGGAAAGCAATTCGAGAGTCCATTTCTGCCCCAGAAGCAAAATGTAGGTATTTGATGCGTGCAATTGTAACTTGCAATGTGTTTCTGATCACTTGCATACTCCATGCCAGGCTCGCCAGGATCACTAAAATGAACAAGGTGTCTATTACGGTTCCAACAGCAGTGGCTCCACCAATCCCAGACACCAAGAAACAGGAATACACAGTGCTTATGATGATTGAGAGATTGACCAATGTGGTAGTCTTGGCAGGAGGGGAAGCAGAAGAAACCGATAAGACCTTGGTGGCATAATCGAACCGAGGATTCACCCAACAAGCATAAAGGGATAGAATCAGGGCAAGAACTATAGCAATTACGCCTATTGCTAAACTAGCAGCAGAGCCTATTAGTACAAACAGCACTCCAACTGCGCAGGTTAGCAAGGGGCTAAGCCAGAAGGATGTTCTCAGGGCTCTTGAAGGGTTGAATTGAGTGAACCATTGCCAAATGAAAGCCACAATTCCAGCGCATACTGTTGCAGTAAGGAGTGGTGGATACCACTTCTCGGGGTGAAAATTGTGGCTGTGTGCGGAGAGGAGGCCACGGATGGTGAGGCAGATCACTAGGATGGCGATTAGGACTATGTGCACAAAGAAGAGGACTCGAAAGAGCCTCTGGAAAAATAGCCCCGCCACCGTTGTGGTTTGAAGCTGGATGCTTGATTCTTGAACCTGCAAAAATATTAACAAAGAGAGTTGGTAGATAAGTTAAAAAAGTCAACTCGCTGTATCTGATGCTCAAGATTAATAAAATAACGAATGATGTTACTCAGAGCATTGGAATAATTAACAAGATGAGAAACAAGAAATAAAGAAACAAGAAAAGAAACATGAAATGTCAGCTTTAAGAGAGAGAGGCTTGTTGCAGACGAAGAAAGATGATAAATTAATAAACCTTGGGGATTGTTGAGTTTTTTTATTTTGTTATTTTTTGATGGAGAAGGAAAATGGAGGAAGAAAACAAAATCAAAGAGTTGATTTGAGAGAGGAAGAGAGAAAGAACCTTGAAGGGGATCATGGATGGAAGTTTTTCCTCTTGATCAACTTGAATGTGGAAGTTCTGTACATTAATATCTGTAGCTGCAGTATTCATTTCCTCGGCTCTTTCCATTGACCGCAACTCACCTCGATATTATGAATCTTCCTCTCAAAGTCTTGGTCTTTTTTTGTTTAATTAAAACAAATAACTTCTTGGTTTAAATTTCTTCCAATTTCTTGACAGCCACGATTCACCCAAATCACATGCTTCAAAATTCTCAAATATTATTCCATCACTGTTGTTTTAGTTTTCTTTACAAGTTGAGGGGTATGAATACGTCACTGTCAAGACTTACTTTCTTTAACTTGCGCAGGTCTTCTTTAACAAAATCTTTTATATTGCATGAAACTGACCAAGTCCTCCTCCCTCCTTCACATTTCCTTTGAATCTGATGGCTTATTAGCTAGTGTGTGAGTTTTGGCTTTGATGATGTGGTGCAATGACGTGGGAGGTAGAGAAGTTAAGGGATAGGTCAACGGAGGTTGCTTGTGAAAGAGGGTCTCTTAGTATTATTTCTCTATGCTCCTCCTCGTGATGCAGTTAGCTTTGGTTATAGAAAGTACAGAAAAAGGAAATTCCGCAACTCTCTTTATAAAAAGAGTGGGGTTTGGTAGGTTAACTACTAACTAACTTTTGGGTTTTTGCTACTAGCAAATTCCGGTAAACAAGTTAGTCTCCTCGTTAATTTTTTAACAATATATAGTATTTAAATTTTAAAATTATACTTATTAAAAAAGGTTAAATTTTATGATTCTGGCTTCAAACATGATTAGTATTAACTGTGATATAAGATGAGAATAGCTAGATAAAACGCAAAAAACAAAAATAAAAGCTTGGACTTTTGCTGCATTTCAGGGTAATGGTCAGCTTACAAATCCGTCCATCAAATACTGTACATAGATAGTGTTACCAGAGATAACCAAGATTCTACGTTACACGATCTTGATGTATCTTGACTGGGAAGTAAGTGGAAGATTAAAATCTATCACAATCTTGGTCAAAATTTTAGAATGGACTGAATAGAAAGAAAAAATTAAAAATTGTGTTATAAGTTCTAGCCAAGAGCAGAGCAAGGAGAGAGGACTAAAAAGAGGTCCATTTTCTTGTCAACTAGAAGCTCAACGAGGCATTTGGGCCTTCCCAGCTGATATTTGCATGTTGATAATGACTGTTAGCCAATCTTTCATAAAAACAAACAAATCAATCGCTTTAGGTGGTATGACTATGGCCTATGGGTTGGAGGAACAAGAAAACTGTTGAACATTCTTTCATATTATCAAACACTATAGCAGTAAGTTAAGGTTACGCTAAGGATATTCCATTCATTTGCAACGTGCCGTGGAGGGGCTTACGGTTGGGATCCTTTATGGGATTTAAAAACAGAGATTAATTACTGGAGTACCTCCAAAAGACATGCATTTATCTAAATATATCAAAAACGTCGCATCCAAAAACTGTAATTCTCTTAAAGACTGACCGGTACCCTAGGGAAATACTGGAGTACCTCCAACCCAAAATTTTCAACCGGATAAGAAGTCCAGGCCACCAATTGTGACAATAGCAAGGGAGATAGAGCCTTTAAGGAAGATGGCTTTCCAAGACTCTTATTGTTTAATTTGTGTTCATCTTAGCAATAGTGGTGTCATGAGAAAATGAGTCACATCATAAGTGTAGTTCGTCTAAGTTGGTATCTAAATTTATCAATATTAGAGAAAATAAATGATTCTATTTTTTCAATCATGTAACTTGTCAAGGTCTTACCTATATAAGAATACGAAAGGTTCTAAATTCTATATAAGAATCATATTCATCTTTTTTATTGTCAAAGGATCTCTCAATCTATCGGAAAAATTTAATTTACAGGAACACATAATAGAAGAGAGATAGATACTCAATCAACCTCCATTGTCCATTTTCAGCCATAATGAGTCACGCCATTCTCATTTACTAGATGAGTTTTCTTAGACTCACCATCTATGGAGAAAAACTATATGAAAAGATTTCTCATTTCTCTATAAGATCTCCAAGCTCATCAATGGCTGAACAATAAGAAATTTCAGGTTGTGTAACCATTGTAGATTTTACTGGTCCTAGTGTTTAGCTTGTGGTTATTGTTCAATTGCACCAACACTTTCAATACCTCGCAGAAGTATTTGTGGTAACCCAAGCCCAAATATAGGTATTGACTAAAAAATATTTCTAAACATTCATCTAATCCTTTTAATACTAACTATCTGTTATTTATATTTATTTATGTATGCATGTATATGTATGTGTATTTAGAATTTTTAGATCTAAAATTTCAAACCTCGTAACTCTCAATGTTAGAGATGAGATGGTGTTAATTTTGGTGTTATATATATATGAACGATATCAAATATACAACTAAATAATTAGGTTAATGATACTAGAGGTCTCTATAGTGTTGATTTTTGACAAAGACAATTTATAGTGTTGATTTTTGACAAAGACAATTTGAATAATTGAATCCTTATTATTTGGGTTGTTAGGTAGTCAAGGTTCCTGCGTTTATAATAATTAACCTAATTTTTGTTATTTTTTTACTTTTAAAGAGAAGGGAGCCACATGTAAGCTTTTTATTGGTTCCAATTAAAAAAATTAATTCAAAATTTAAAACTTAAAAATTGTTAATTTTTTTTAATTATAAACTGTTCATTTATTTACTATAGAAAAAGTGTTTTTTTAAAAAAAAAAATTGGTTGATTTTTTGTACTTCTTTTTTTTATTTCATCAATGAAGGATAAAATTATGGATTTATTGCTGAAACATACTTGATTCAATTTATGTATTTTTCCGTAGGCATGATTTTTCATTTTAATTTTTCATAAATTTTTTTATTTTTAGATAATTTATTTTTTTCCTAAAATTTTTTTCTTTTAAAATTAAAATAAAAAATCATCTACAAAAAATGAAAAAAGAAAAAAGAAAAATCCAACGTAAGTAAAAAAATTGATAAATAAATAAATAGCTATAAATAAATAAAAAGTTGTCAAAATAATTGCCATTTTTTTTTAATTCTTAAACATATTTTTTCTATTTTTAATCTTTTTTTTTTAAATTAGAACCAATATAATATTGGATCGTGTCCCTCTCTCCTTTAAAAATCAAAATTATTAGAAAATTAGGTTGAGTATAGAGGGAAGAAACTCTTACGTCTAATTGACCAAGCCATAAGAGGCCAATTGTGCAAATTGAAAGCACATGTTGTTATTCAAAAAAAAATCAATACCGTAGGGACCTATTTGTCATTAAACCAAGTTATTGGAGTATTGTCAATTTTGCCTCTAAACTATTTTGATTTTTCAATTAAAGATTTATGTTAAAATCACTTAAAAATGTTAAATTCCCTACAAAATAACGTCATTTTTTTTATTACAAAACATAGTATGGAAATATGGATGAAAGTCCTTGACCGAAAAGTTCAAACCGTTAGATGATAAAATTGATATATAAATTTATTTAATAGTAACATTGAGACTATGTATATAATTGAGTGATATTATTTAAGTTTACCCAAAAATAAAATACTCTAAAAAAATTGTGTTAGCCAAATGTGCAAGATTTGTAATTTTCAATTTTAGTAATGCTTTATTAGTTAAAGTTTTAAGTTTTTTTTTTTTTAGTATATAAATCCTAATTATTAAAGTTAATAAGGCTAGGTTGTGGCCTTGTTAATTGGTAATTGGGCCAAGCGAAATAGTAGATGTGGCCACCAACTGTTAAGTGGACCATCCTCCAAAAAGAAATTAATGCGACTATGTGAGGAACTGGATAGTCGTGTTAAAAAATCGTACCATATAATAGAGAAGCACATATATTTTAGTATACTGACAAAAAAAATATATAAAATAAAATAATAGCGTCATAACCAGTAGATAATGCCCTAATAATTTTTTTTCATTCCCAAACCCTAAAACTCTCTTTTCATTAATAGTTAGAGCAAAACTCTCTTTCAAAACCCTTAAATGAACCCATCTTTCATATTTTAGAACAAGCCTATATCGTACTAAACTGTTGAGCATTAAAAGAGTTTGCATTCACTTATCTGCTTCAAGTTAATGATATGATCAAGCAGTCCTTCACTTGCCGAAACGATTTACTTTTCTTAAATTACTATAGTATTTGTTTGTTGGCAAAGCAGAGGAAGAAATGCTTGTTTGAAAGAAGGTTGGTGACGAGAGTTATTGAGAGAGTTGTCGTCGCTGAGAATTAATAATATTGTATACCAACTCTTAAAATTCTGCACCCACACGCGTGTTTTTTGAAGGGAATACAATTAATGATGGGATATACAGAAACCCATGGTATTAGAAGAAACAAATTAGTTGAACCAAAAATTGGGAAAATCTAATTTCTTGCGTGTGGTTTTAGAGGAAATCAAGGTGTAATGGTGTTAAGTAGGACCCATTAATGATGGGATATACAGAAACCTGAACCAGCTATTAGTTTGGACTTACATCCTCAATTAACTTAATTTATGATGCAAAATGATTTTTTTTTCTTTAAGCTCGGCAAGTTGCTTGTTTTTTTCGTCAAAATTCAGGAAGATAATATACAATTTAAACCCCCAACCCCCACAAACACCCACCTGCCTGCAAACCCCCACCACCCCCCCCCCCCGCCCCCGCGCCGCAAACACAAAAAAAAAGAAAAAAAAGCATAGGTTGTAGCTTTGGTAATTGGGCCAAGCATGAGAGTAGACATGGGCCACCAACTATTCAGTGGACCATCCTCCTAAAAGAGATCAATGTGACTATGTGAGGGACTGGTGCCATGAGGAGGCCCATGTAAGTTTTAATGACTGGTAGGAACGTAAGGCTGTCTTAGCTGGGGAGAAAATAAGTTTTAAAAATTTGTTTTTTTATTCTATTTATTTTTTCATATTTGTTTAGCATTTAGAAAAAAGCGAACGAAAAATAATTTTCAGTCAATAAAAAATGATAGAATATTTTTTGAAAAAGTGTTTTCCGAGTTAAAAAAGAGGAAAACATTTGATTTTTCGATTTATAAATACATTAAATATTCTTAAAAATCAATTTTACACCTTAAAATTATTTTTATACTAAATAATTTAATAATTTATCTTATTTTTTTTATCATTATCTCAAACACCACCTAAACTATACTTAAATGATTGAAAATAATTATTACAATATTGCAATCATTTGTGAAAAATGTAAAATTAATTAATTCATTAATAAATACATTATTTTTCTAAAATTATTCATTTGTAACTAAATTAATAATTTGTGATTAATTTTAATCATTTGTAAAATTTTGTTAGTAATTGTAGTCAATAATTAGTTACAAATTATTTTAACATTAATCTTTTGAAACCAAATAAACAATTATCTCGCAAATAATAACTAATTTGTAAAAATATTTTTTAGACTAAAATTATCAGTTCAATTTTCAAAAAAAGAATTCTTAATTGAGTTACCAAAATAACAATGTTAGGATTTCTTAGAAATTTTTTTATTAAATGTAAATATTGACTTGATTTTTTCTCAAATAGTTTTGAAGAATTGGTTTGATGGTTAAAATATACATTTTATTTTTTGATTTTTTGATTTTAAATCTTAGAGTCAATATTTATAAAAATTTATTAAATTTTTATAAATGCATCTTATATTTTGAAATTATGAATATGTTTTGTTGAATTGTCCTCAAAACTTGTTAATGTATCAATTACAACTTGTTTTTATATTTCAGCTTTTTGTACAAACAAATACCGAATATATTTTTCAATAGTTTTTTTTCATATAATTATCAAATGTCAAAAAATACTTTTTTTGAAAAACAATTTTCTGAAAAATAGCTTCTCTATAATTGATTTTTCTATTAGATGTTGTTTTCCGTTAAACAAACGGAGCCTAAATGAATTAGATTTTAATCCAAATCCGATGCAATTAAATATATTTAGTAAATAAATTTTTTACTTCAGTTCGATTATAATTTGAATCCGTTAACTCGTTTATTAAATTGATCAAATCGGGATCTATCTTGATCCGATTTGAAATTAAAAATAATTAATATGCTTTTAATAAATATAATATTTTAAAAATTTATATATACATATATATGAGATTAGGTTGAAATTTAGAGTTTATTTATAACTAAGTTCAAATAATGCATATTCTTTCGTAGTGACGGTTGTATTTTCAAAAAATCAAAAATAAGTTTTTTGTCCTTTTTTTTTAATTCAACTTCATAAAAAAAATCCATGGTAATTAATTTACTTATGCATTAACCACTTATTAATATCATTATTTGTATTTTTTAACGTATTTTTTTTTATATAAAAGAAGTTTTTGTGGAGTTGAGAGCAATGAATATATTCAAAAGTGATTATTCAATTATATATCAAACTTGATGTTAAGAATTATAGCATGTGAAACTAACTTGTTATGAATTAGAGACAATTTTAAATTTGTAATGTTATACATAAAAGTATGGCTTAAATTAATTGATATGGTAGAGGTAGATAATAGAGTGTTTTACATAAACTCTTTTGATACTTGAATCTCTAAATTGTATTATTTTTTTTTTGTCATTTCACTTGTTGAAAGGGGGTATAGAAACAAATAGTTGGAGATTAGAATTTGAGATACACAAAAATCTGTATTGTTAAGAAATCATCAAAAATTAGATTTAAAAAAAATTAAAAACATGCAATATCAATATTTATTTACTTCTGCAATATTATTAATATTAGGAAAGTGATATGTATTGATAAATTTGTGTGAAGTAACTTGTTAAAAATATATGATAATATTAATAGATTTTTTTTCTTTTTTTGCAGGCCTTGATTTCTAGCACTATCATCTTGAAATTTGAATTAACAAATATTAATTTTACTATCACGTGAACTAAAAATAAAAATTATTTATTAATTGTTTCTTTTAGTCTTATTGCACTCCCTATATAGTTCAAAATAAATTTTTATTAGGATTATTTGATTTTGTGTTTTTTAATTATATGATATTTGATTTTTTTTTACAAAATTGAGAGATAAAATATTATTTTAATATATTTTTATTATATATGCAATGGTTGAAATATATTTTATATTCAAATAATATATTAAATGTAATAAGCATAATTTTTTTACAAAAACAAACGACAAATCTGATGAAGTTTGATCCGAATCCTTTAGAATCTAAATTCATATTTTCAAAATTTAATTCAAATTTATAAAATTCAATCTAATTTTTTTAAAATTTATTAAATAAAATGAATCCAAATATAGTATGATCTCATTCGAATCTAACCTATTTACCACTCTAGACGGTAGGATGCATTGGCCGGTTTGCCCATCGTCTCATGGACAGCTGGACATGGGGCTGAGATGTAACTTAGTACAAATACGGGCATGATAAAACTATATTTCTTAAAAATTTAGGATATAATATAGGTTAGATTGAAATTAACTTTATAATATACAATTTTTTTTGAAATAATTAACAAATAGCTCCTAAAAATAGATATAGTCAATAATAATACGTCGTTATCTATGTTCTCTTCAAAATTATATATTAATTTGGAGACATAAGGGTTAAGTTTTTTTTTATAATTATTACTAGATAATAAACTCTGATAAATTTATTTTTTCTGTTTCAAGATAATTATTGCTATTTATCTCCATTTTGATTTGGTAGTTTAAAACAAAAATATAATTTTTTAATTTAGAAAATAATAATAGTAATAATGATGAACAAAAAAAATATTAATAATATCATGTTTCTTGTATAAAAATTACAGCATTTTCCTTTTTTATAAATAATCTTAAATAATTTATTTGAAAAATATACAATTTCAATTGAGTGGAATGTTTTTGTTTCTTTAATGCCTAATTAACACTTAAAATACATCATGAACGATCATTTCTCAACGTCTTACTGCAATATCCCCCCATCTCTCAAGTGTATCTAAGACTTGAATTTATTTATTTTTCCTCCTATTTTCATATATTAAACCATATAAAGACACATCCTTTTTTTTTTCCTTGTATTTTATGGATATGACAGCGATTTTGAAGTATCCAGATTAACTTAATTACTTGATGCACAAAAAAAAAAAAAAAAAAGTGTTTGCCACTAATTTACTGACCAGCACATGTGACAATGACATGTCATCTTGAAGTTTTCATTCTTCTCATACCTGAATTTCTTTCCACACGAGTCCCACTATAATCCAATCCCAACCTCGTTAAAGTCCTGACTAATATAGTAATTTTCCGGTTTTCACTGCCCTATATTTAACAAGTCTCCATATCAAGTACCGTTATTGTGACCATTGGAGGAGGCCTTCCCTTCAAAGTAAGGAACCAACTCCAACAAGATCCACCACACACTTCCATGCCTTTTTATTATTCTCATTCTCACCTCCTTCACCATTAACAACTTAAGCTACCTTTCTTCCTTCCTTCACTTCCCAACTTCCTCTCCAAAACTTACCTTTACATTTTCTTCTTGTTCAATGAAATGGGCATCAAAATTTTCACTATCTCATTCATGGTAACTTCAATACTCTTCTCTCTATTATACATCCCAACAAAACTAACCACACCAGTTACCAGATACAACCCTGTGATCAACTTAAACATGTCGAAAGACCTCAAACCGTATCCAGCAACATTTGCTTACTTGATATCAGCATCCAGAGGCGATGCAAAGAGGCTAATGCGTGTGATGAAGGCACTGTACCATCCAGGGAACTACTATCTGATCCATGTGGATGCTGCTGCACCTGCAAAGGAGCACAGAGAAATAGCTGAATTCGTGTCTACTGATCCAGTTTTTGGGATGGTTGGAAATGTTTGGATTGTTGGGAAACCAAATTTGGTTACTTATAGAGGTCCTACTATGCTTGCTACTACACTCCATGCAATGGCAATATTGTTGAGGACTTGCAAATGGGACTGGTTCATTAATCTCAGTGCCTCTGATTATCCCTTAGTCACCCAAGATGGTATGGTGAGTGGCCTTTTCTTTTTTATTAGGGCTATCCTATTTTGGTCCTCCACAAATTTTGGCATGTTAATTATAAACCTCACTCTTGTTAAATTTTGTCGTTTTACATTTTTTTTTTTTTTGCTCCCTCCCTCCCTCCCTCCCTCTCTGTTTAATAATGTAAAAAAAAAAAAAAAAAGAAGGAAAAATTTAATAATAAAAATAACGTAATTATGTCTCCTGTTTTTGTTGTTATCAGATCTGATAGATGCCTTTTCTAGCTTACCAAGAAATCTCAACTTTATACAGCATAGCAGTCGCTTGGGCTGGAAACTGTAAGAGACCTTGCCCTTTTCTTTCTTTCCATATATATATATATGCTTTTGGTTATCATGTTTTTTATTACTTTTGTGAAGCGATAAGAGGATTTTGATTATTAAAAAATATTATTATTATTATTGTTATCAGGAATAAGAGAGCCAAGCCAATTATGATAGACCCTGGCCTCCACAGCCTCAACAAATCAGAGATCTGGTGGGTTATTAAACAAAGGAGCCTCCCAACTGCCTTCAAGCTGTATACAGGTGTCTCTTTTCTCCCAAATCTTTTTGTTTATTATGAAAAGGACCCTTCTTATCACAAAACATTGGCACCCATAACCTTCCATTAATTCTCTACTGGCTCCATGCATTGTTTTGCATCAATTTATTTATTTTTTTTCTGTCCCCACAATAATATTTTTCTGTGATTATCAGTAGCATGTGAACTCTGAAGTGAGGAGACAACACGCATTCCATAGGACATGGCACTCACCTTAAAGTATAAAAAATTAAAAAACAATTGAATTAATAATTTGTGGGGTTTTACAGACGGGCCCATTGTTTTGGATGTATTAGAAAATATACCCAATCTTTCCCAATGTCTTACTACTAGTACCTTGTATTATTCAAATTGCCTAATCAAGCCATTGCCGACAAAAAGTCCTTCTTGGCTTTACTTAATTGCTAATGATTAGAATACAAATTACATTCTCTAGTACCATCCGCCCCGTTTGAAATGATCTCCTAAAATCTACAAAACAACAAGATTAAACTTTTTTTTTTTGGACCCAAGTAATAAAAAAGATATAAAAGGAATCTTAAAAAAAAAATTAATTAAGTAGGCCCAATTTTATAAGCTTGTATGATCCTTTTGCAATCAATCTTGAACCTCTTGCTGGCAAAATCGTTAATGATAGTTGAATACGACCTTAGGCCTAATTAATGGTAGCATCAACAAACTTCAAGAGCTAGCAATCTTAGAAACAAAGTCATCTTAAGATTATCCAGTTCAACGAACTGGTTAGGATGTCACGTTGTGGAAGTGTATAGTATGTCGTGAAACTGTGCTTCATGCCTTAATCACAACAATTCAGGTAAGCCGCAAGCCAATTAACTATAGAAATGAAGGTAACAAATATGGCCTTAAACTCTATGCCAAGTTACCGTTTTTGAGTTTCAAACATCAAGCCCATGTTCAGAGTTGAAAAAAAGTAACGAGTGTGGGACAATCTACAAAGTGTGGATTAGATTTGAAAAAAGAACAAGTTCAGAAGCCACTTTCTATCAAAGACATGATGTGCAGTTTTGATGTATCTTTCTTTCGTGAAGTGACAATTTGGGTGGTGTCTAAAATGGGATATACACTTTCCTTTCTTTATCTTTTATATGGTGCCACTGGCCAGTGGTAGATTGGTAGTTGTGGTTGTGGTTGATGCTAGCTGGTTTTCATGTCATAATCAATCAACACTTGGAATTATTCTGATCGTTAAGTTAGGCATTTCATCACCAACCTAACAACATATGGCTCCACCATTTTACAAACTGCGTAAACCTCAACATAGCCATTGAATCAGTAGAGAACAATATTCATACGCATCCAGGTTGGGTTTCTAGAAGAGTCCTTGAAATGATATACAAATGGGGGGGCCAAAGACAGACACTGGATGGCATAGGCTGCACAATCTAGAAAATTCACATGACAAGGCCCGGTTGATGTTAGAACACACGTGCTTTCCTGTTCTTATGTGGAGTACTTTGTAAATTTATAATAATGAATGTCCCCAGTGAAAAAAAAAAAAAAAAAAACTAATTAATCTAGGTGTTGTTAAAAAACAAAAAGAAAAAAGTAAATATTCTAAGTGGCTTTAAACTGATTCGAAAGGGCAAGATGCAGAAAGAACTGTATATGAATACGAATACTCTTCGACAAAAGTACATCAAACTATTTTATTATGTCTTCATGTCACGGATTTTATTGTTTTCTTTTTTATGCCAATCGAAATTGATGAGTACATATCATCTGTTTATGATGATCCTTGCCACAATTTTAGTTCTGGAATGAAATTTTTCAGTACAAGTTATTACATTTTTTTTTTTATATGGTTAAACGTGACTTTAAATCGTTTGATTTCTTCCTTTTAATTATTATTATTATTTTACTAAAGAAGATCAAAATGTTTACAAGCCGAATTAATTAACGGTGTCAGTCACCTATGTGTTGCTTATGCACCAGGCCAGGAGGCTGTTCATCGTTCTGAAAATTAAATAGCTAATTGGAAATGAAAGTGATTTTTTTCTTCAACTTTAGATTATCTCTTGATGGGCAATTAAAAGTTAATGACAATCTTAAAATCAGTAGCAGATTATGAAACATTTGGTTTTAGACTGAAAACCCCATGATTTCTGAGATCTTTCCAAATTCCAGAAAATAAAGATGATCGCACTGATTATGGATGGCAGTTGCCTTTGCAGTCACCATATCTTAGCTTGATTTTTCCTTTCAGATTACGCCTCCAAGTTTTTTCATCTGCCAAAAATACATCAAAAAAATTTTCCTATCAAACAAGAATTTTTCTTTGGCAGTTTCCAATTTTAAATGCACAAATCTATATATGTGCAGTGTCTTTCAAGTTTTCAATAGACACAACAATCTTAATTTCTCTCAATTGCTTTGCATAACAGGCTCTGCTTGGACCATATTATCAAGATCTTTTGCTGAGTATTGCATTGTGGGTTGGGACAACTTGCCAAGGACTCTTCTTCTCTATTACACCAACTTTGTGTCCTCCCCTGAAGGCTACTTCCAAACTCTAATATGCAACTCTGAAGACTATAAAAATACTACAGCTAACCACGACCTTCATTACATCACTTGGGATACACCTCCTAAGCAGCACCCAAGGTCCCTAGGGGTTAAAGATTATCGAAGAATGATCTTAAGCAGCCGGCCATTTGCAAGAAAGTTCAAGAAAAACGATGCAGTTCTCGATAAGATTGATCGCGAGCTTCTTAAAAGATACAAGGGACAATTTTCCTATGGGGGCTGGTGTTCCAGGAGTGGCAAAAAGCGTGGAACTTGTTCAGGTTTGCAAAATGAGAACTATGGTGTTTTGAGGCCTGGACCAGGATCAAGAAGGTTGCAAAATTTGCTGACCAAACTTCTCTCGGAAAGGAACTTCAAGCGGCAATGCAGATGAAAGTTCTCTCGAAATGAGAAAAATAAGTGCTTCATTATAATATTTTTTTTCTTTACAAGAAATTAGAATATCTACTATCACTGGGCTGGTGGTTTGACGAGATATAATGAAAAAGTTAATAAATGATTCTTACAGTGAAATACTATTACCTGGTAAAAAGAAAAGAAAAGAAGCAACATGTTAATACTAGTGAGAATGGATAAAACTTTAAAAATCGGTCAACTTGTATGTCATTATCACCACGGAGCCGGTTCAAATTAGATAGTTATACACCCAATTCTTGGGTAACTAGGTACAGAGAAATGCTAATAAAAATGATATAAATAGCTCAATCTTTTTTATATAATATTCTAATTATTCAATCTATTTTTAAGTTTTTAATTGTATATATTATATATTTGAATAATGTTTATTTTCCAATTTTTTTTTAATTAATTGTTTTGACCATAGGCAAAAATTTTGACCTAAATATTCCTAGCTAAAAAAAAAAAAAAAACCGCTTAAAATCTTATAATCTGCATATCTCATTTTTTAAATCTTTATTTTTTTTTTAAGTTAGAGGCAATTCGATAAAAAAAATGTTTATTATCAAAAAAATTGATCGAAAGAATAGATTGAAGATTTAAACATTATTTGAAAACATAATATATGTAATTAGAATTGTAAGAACATATTGAAAATTTAATCTATTATATAAGGACAAATTGAACTATTTACTCCATAAAAATATATCAAAATCACTTATAGAATGATTTACTTCCATACCAATTATAGAATGAGTTTGAGTATACTTTGGTGAATTCAAAGAAATTATTATATACTTTGGAAATAATCACTACAAAACAATATAGTTGTAGCAACGAGTATCTTAAAAACAACGTTTGTTTTTGTTGTTTAGATATTATTAGTCGGTTGCTCGCGCTATGTCTGCGGGTTCGATAAAACAAAATTATTTTAAAATTTTAATTTTTAATTATAATATTTAATTTAATTTAATATTTTTGATGTTTTTATAAATTATTTGCTTAAAAAAAATAAATCATTCTTCTCTATGGATTGATTCTAAAATTAAAAATTATAATAGTTTTAACTAAAATATTAATCAAGAATTGAAAAAAAATAAAAATATGATTTTCATAATATTATATTCTAACAAAAAGTTATAATTAATGGACGAGACTTTGACAAAAATTAACAAATGAAAAAAAAATTGATTTAACGCCGATGAGAAAAAATAATTTTTAAAATTATCCGCTCAACGCTACCGGTAAATAGAACAAAATCCTTTCAAAATATAATAATTTTTATTTAATTATTATTATTATTTGTGTGTTTTTTATAAATTTTTTACTTAAAAAGCATGATTTATTCTTTGTTATTTAGGAATTCTTAAATAAAAACTTGTAATAATTTAAACCTAAAAAATTAATTAAGAATTCAAAAACAAATACTTTAAAATTATATTTTTTATAAGAATGAATTTAAAAAATCAAGTTACAATTAGTGTATGTACTTGCATAAAAATTAACCAATGAAAAAATAAAATTTTATTCTTATTTAATGTTGGTGAGAAGATTAATTCTTTTCAAGTATATGCATTTGATGTATATATATTTATTGACAAAACAATCAATGAAATTAGCATAAAAAAATAATATTTGAATAATTGGTTTGTTCCTTTAAAAAATTATTTTAATTATCTCATTTTGAATAAATTGGTTATATGATGTTAAAAAAATATTTATAGTAAATAATTTGTATCATGGAAGATGTATAGTTAATTTTTAATAAAATGAACGATTCAATAATTTTTTTATATGTCTTAACCATATCTAGTGAACTCGAGATAAATTATTTGATATACACTTTTAATCTTTTAAAATAAAATATTTATTTATTTATATATATGCAACTATCATATAAAAATTCTAAGAATTCATGATATATATATATATATATATATATACTATACCAATTTATTTTTTAAAAAAGAAAAACAATTGTGTTTTAAAATTTTATTCTAAAATGTGAATTAAGCATGATCAACATTGATTACGGATTAAATAATTAATTTTTAAAATAAAATAAATTATTTAATTTGTTTTGTCAAACTAAACGTACTTATTTATTATTTATTCTCTTGAAGATAAGTTGGATGATAGGCCGAAGAGCACATGAAAGGGAAAGTATTGAGCGTATTAATCAAGAATACCTCTCCAGAGGGGTTATAGAATTTTTGACCCATACGAACGTTCCCCCACCTTTATAATTCACCATTACCCATAAGGTAGGATTATGGAAATTTAGGATAAGGTAATAAGGCATGATAAAATTTTGTTTTTTTTTCCCATTAGAGAGGTATTTAACTTAAAAATAAATAAATATTATTGTAAAAAAAATTTATTTACATGTGCATACATTCTTGTCAATTTCATAAATATCTGACCAAAAACCAAGCATAGCTCCTATGATATCATCCAAATTGATATATATATATATATATTCAAAGACACATATACCAATGTATTAAGCCTTTTTTTTTTAATCTGATTGAAAAAAGTAGACCTGGTATGTAAAATTTAATTGGAGAATATCTTTAGTAATAAGAAAAATAGAAATGTGCATAAATTACTTTTGAGTCCTTGAAAATCTTTTCTATCTCATTTGGTTTCTTAAATATCTATAAATTCTCAATTGAGTTTTTCATCTAAATTTTTCACAAAATTTTACTAAAAAATGTTACATCTGAAAACATTTTGAATTCAATTGTCTTAGGAGACATGCATGGGAGTCAATTAAAAATTATCAAAAGCTATGACGATATAACTTTTCATCATCTTAATCCAGAATCCCTATATAGTTGGGGGACTTATTTGAAGTTTGTCCCTTTGCTGTTCCATTGGTTGATATTACAGATTTTTCTCAAGTCTTCACAGAACTTTGGGAAATAATATGTTTTCTTTTTCCGACCTGTCTTTCCTGTAGGAAAATTTGCACAACCCTGGTCCAGAATCCAGATGTAGGTATGAGGTACGATCTGAAAAACTACTAGCAGCCTAGCACGTTAACTCTTAGGCCCATGTTAAATAATTAATACACATCTGACTCCTTTCCTTTCCGTTTTTCAGTGAGGCAACAAAAAAAAAAAAAAAAAAGAATGAACATTTGTCACGCTACAGTGTTTTATCGTTTTCTTTTAGTTTATTTTGTAATAAATAATTAATGCACATCTGACTCCTTTCTTTTCCGTTTTCTAGTGAGGGTAAAAAAAAAAAAAAAAGAACAGTTGCCGGCTACAATGTTTTATTGATTTCTTTTAGTTTATTTTGTAATATTCAGCAACATTTGTCCCTATGATATAGTTTTCATTTTAGTTTAAAATTAAATAAAAATTAGCAAGAAAAAAAATACTGCCAAAAATAAATAAATAATTAGCCAAAAATTCTCAGCCAGTTGTTTCATATGCATTTTTAAGTCTCAATTGCCCCTAAAGTTCAAAAAGTCGACATTAAACACACATTGCTCAATTATATTAACTATTTACTTTTTTAATTAGGACTATATATATATATATATATATATATATATATATATATATATATATATACTTTCATCCTAAAAAAATATGAGTTAGTTGTGTAAAACATAAAGTTTAACATAGTAAAATTAATAATACTAACATTATATTTGTTCAAATCATAATCGAAAATTTTTAAATTCAATATATTTTTTTAATTTTTAGATAATCATGCAAACAAAAAAAAAGAGTTAAAAATTACATGTGAAGTTAAAAATAAATGATCGTTTCAATTTAAGGATTATATGTTGTGTAGCACAAGAAGTTGAAAATTACCTAAATGTAACCCAAAAAAAAGAAGAAAAAACCCCAAAGCATGCGAAGTAAAATTTATGATCGCAATAAATAAATGAACAATTTAATTTTCAACTCTAAAAGTCGTTTGTGCTGAGGGTTTCAGATTTTGATTTTGTTTTTTTTTTATCCGTTTTCTTCCCACTTTGTTTACGAGCATAAGCACTCTCGTGTGTAGCAGAATTTATTCGGGAGATCCATAAATGTTTTAACACTTTAACATCCGTACGAGCCTGTTTTAACGGTCACCTGACAGAAATAACTGTGCCATTATCAAATCTTTTCACCGACCTTGTCGGAAATCATAATAAAATATACATTTGTCCCTCATCCCATGCAAAATAACGGTCACTTTTTTCTCCGATGTGCAGTCCAAGAGCCGACTTTAAAGCTTCATTTATTGCTAAAAATTAATCAATTAAATAGTAAATCAATGGTTATAAACCACATTACAAAAACAAACAACTTGGTTCCCTGATTATAACTTCACCAAGAAAGTGCACCAAACGCGCCACCACAAAAGTCTACAGAATTTGGTCCGAAAATGAAGGCAGACGCCGGAAAAAATTAACCGGAACAGATGGCATGTCGTCACGGAACCTTGGGTGGCGTAGGTAATAGAACCCAGACCCTAACACAAAGATCTTAAATGGTACCACATAAAATACCAGTGAAGCAACTAAGCAAAACAATACAAAAATCCCAGTGGCCCTTGGATCCCTCCAATTACACAAAGCTTCTAAACGCTCACCTTGGGCTGAAAAATCACCTAAAAGTGTCTGGGCCCGGCCCGCCAGGGCCCTCAGTCTATCGTATCGTATACGAACCACATCAGGTGATCGCGTGGTGGGAAATCCATCAAACTCCTCATCGAGCTCATCCGGACCCACCATGTCCACATAAGAGAGCCTTGAGTCCATGTTGAGTGGGACCCTTTGGCGATAACGAAATCTGAACGCTAAGATCAAGAAGGCATACATGAATACGGTGGGGAGCACTAGATGTGGACATAACACAACAGCTACAAGCAGGACGTGCATGAGAACTGTCGTGGGGGGTGTATCCACGTGCGAATCCCATCAATCCAACGTGCCAAAGCAGCCGCACGTGTGAGACATCCCACTACTCTAAACCAATTAGCCTTGCTCCTTCTCATGCTCCACATGTGCGTGTCACTATCCAACATGAATTGAACCACTTCTTGGCCCAATGGTGGCTCGGACCGGGTTAGCCGAGTGGTGACCAAACGCATTGCGGTATGACGCAAAATGTCTTGCTGGGCCGGACCTAAAGGCTTCACATAATGCATCCTAGGCAGGATTGGTGAAGTGTAAGCTTGAATTAGACTCAACCATGATGAACATGAAAATCTAACGGCTATCTCGATCTCTCCCATTTTCTTGGCCCCACCAGGAAGTAACACCGTAAGAGAGTATTGGTTTAAGCACACCCGATTGGTATCCAGTGTTGATAAACGTAGCCTTATTTTACCAACCCTAACATCTTTGCCTTGTTTTCCTGCTTCACCAAGCTTGTACCTTCCATTATCAAATACACCAATTGTAAGCACAGTGCATGGATCATAAACATCCCACGTGTATTGCTCATTCCACCGTGGATTAAATCGATCCAGGATCGTACGGGTACGAACCCACTTGGGCCCATACTTAGCCACCACATAAGCATCGGTGGTCCCACGTGTACCATCCTTGGTTTTCACAGGAAGCAAATTGGTGGCACCTCGGATTCCAACTTCAAGCAACCCAATCGGAGCCTTGGCTAGCTGTTTAGCCGCGGCTCTAACATCGCTTGTCACGTGAGCTGCCTCGTCTAGCACGTGATACCCACCTTCTAAACACACTCTCACGTGTATCCTTCCCGTGTAGGGTCTGCTCTCGTCACCTACCAAATTAAACCATCTTGATTTAGGCTCAGTCCGATCATCTGTCCTCCTTTCGATGCTTGCCACGTGTATTTTAGCATGCCCCACTGACTGCCCATTGGTAACATCCTCCACCGTCACAGTCAAGAATGGCTCAAACGGCTCAGCCGCCACAAAAACCAAATCCTCATTCCAAGTCGGGTTAGCCGAGCTAGAAGATGTTGACCCAACAGAAGTCCGACCAGTTTTAAAAAGCTGGGCCCCAAGTTGAGCTTTAACATAAAGTTCAGGATTTCGAGCCTTAGCTTCGGATCCCGAACCTAAATGCAAATCTTGGGTTTGGATAACCGTTAGTCTCAAATACCAAAGCTTTGGTGACAGGTATACCTTGGCTCGGGTCTCCGGTAATAACCCACCCGAATCCGATTGCCATGCCTCTTGAAATGCCTCATCAACCTGAGTCCCAATCCAAACGGCGAGCATAACGTCATTTCCCGGCGACTTCTCTGATTCCAATGTGTACCATTGTGGAGCCAAAGGACTGTCCGGTGGCACTCTCTTGGGCACCTCCTGCAAATCAAAAGACACTGTACCCAGAGAACACTCTTGTGTTGCCTCTTCGTTCTCTTTCTTCTCTTCTGCCCAAACTGAAACCTCTAAAGAGGATGAATTCAACCCTTCTTTATCAAAAGCGAAGACTTGGTCCCAATCTTTGTCACTCTGGCTCTTGGTTTTGATGCTGTGTGTACCAATCATTAGCTTGGCATAAACTGGGCTTTTCGATTCATTGTTGTCTCTTTTGGCTTTCACTACTCGAACATAGAGAAATGGTATACGATCTACCAGATCGTAAGCGCTTCGACTTCGATCACTGGCTAAAGACCGGAGTTCAATTTCATTGATTGTTACCTCAGATCTTTTTACAATCTCTGCCTTTTCTTTTTCTTTTTTCGAGGGCTTTTCGCTCTGGGCCAACGGCGGATTCTCCACCTCAACTTGGGGAGTTGACTCCTCAGGTTTTTTGGGATTCTCGTCTTGTGGTGATGGACTTGGTTTCTCCTCTTCTTTTTTCGGTTCTGTGGACTCTGCTGCCTTTGGTTCTTCTTTCTTCTCCTCTTCTTTTTTCTCTTCAATGTTCTCTTCTTTCTTCTCCTCCTCAGGTTTCGCCACTTCTGCTGGCTTATTCTCTTCCGTTGCTGCTGGCTCTGCCTCTGGTGGAGCCGGTGGATCTTCGTCAATGTAATAAACTTTCAGCCCTAGCTCTCCTTTAATCTGCGAAAACACGCTTCGCTTCTCCAACGGATAATAAACAAGAGTCTCTCCTCCAGATTTAACGAAAGCACTACCAGCGATCTTTACTTTGCCCAGAAAAGTGTTCCTTTTACCTGTCTTCTTGTCATTGTAAAGATTGATCTCTAAAATCTCTGTTGCCATAGACTCAGTATCGTGGACAAGAAACTCAAGCTTCTCATCCCACTCTGGATTCAGATCTCTGAACTTGGTCTTTGTTCTCCTTCTCTGGCCATCAAAATCCACAATAGCATATGCACTTGCTGTTCCTTGTCCATCTTTGGGCATCAAATTTTTGGCATTGGAAACTTCAACTATCAGTTTTCTTGTACAAGTTTCCGCCATTCTATTTCGGTATCAAAAGCTCAAGAGATTGTAAAAAAAAAAGAGAGAGAGAAATGAAGGATTGAGAATTAACAAGATTGAAGAACAGAAAGGTAAAAGAAAATGTTTCGAGAGAGAGAGTTAGTGTTTTTACTTTTTAGAGAGAGAAAGGGAATGGAAGTGATGGTGGGTATAAAATGGAAGGGATGGGCCAGGTTGTAGGGTTTAAAAAGTCAGGAAGGGGAGCGTGGACACGTCAGGAACTACACGTAGGACAAGAGCAGACACGTGGAGAGAGATCTTTGGGCTGCGAGATTTTGGGTAGGTAGTGGAGGCAACGGAGAGGCAAGAGCAGCGTGCGTGTTACTGAGAGAGCTGAGCAGCGTGCCTGGTGCCGAACCATTTTTTGGTAAATAGAAATATGTTTGCAGATATATATTAATGAAAAAATAGGGGCTGGATTTATGGTTAACTACAACAAAAACAGAGTGTCTGATTTTGTTTCTTTTTAATTGGTTACTCTTCCTTTTTCTACAGGTAAATTTTGTTGAGTGACTTGTGAGTGGTGATCATGGAATCATGAAGTAACTTGTGTCCTTTGTCGTGAGTACTAATAATTGTATGGAAAGGGGAGACAACGATTGTGTTTCTACGAGAATAGGAGTAATAGATTACAAATTCGTATAATTTCTTTTTATACTTTTTTGGGTCTTCACTACTAATGATCCATAATTCTTTGCTCAGGAATATCCGTATTTGCAGTTAAAAAAAAGAAGGAAAATGTTGAGATTTAGATTGTTCATGATAACAATAATCCATAATATTTATATCTGTTAAAATCTTTTCATCTGGGGCTTTAAACGCGCCGGGGGGGGGGGGGACAAAAAAAAGTAATTTAGCTTGGGTGTGTGTGTGTATATATATATATATATATATTTCAAGTAGATAGTAAGTGGCTGATAATTCTGATTAATGTAGCTTACAGGCATAGATAAATTTTATAATACACAAAAGTAAGTAGTAACATATATGATAATTGTTCCATAGATTCAATTTGAAGAAAGAGATAAATACATTGAATTACATCTAAATGTATAAAAAATGATAAAAAAAAATTTCACATTTGCTCAGTTTTATTTTTAATTTTTTATTTTTTTATATCTATTTCTTTTTTAAAATGTGAATCTATAGAATAATTAGTATATGTACCACTAGTTAGTTATTGTGTGTTATAAAATTTCTCTTCAATAACATCTAGGAAGAGGATCAAAATTCAGATGTCAAATTGATTATATCTCCGTAACTGTGACATTTAAAATGCCATTTTCGTATTACGTGGACCCAACATGGCAATTAACCATAGCTAATTATCTTAATACAGATCAAGATTCTCACAAAATTCAGTTCATTTTGGCATGTAGCTTGATGAGCTACTTTTTACAAATAAAGTAAGGCAACCATAAGTGGGCACTTGCAGGTGTCTCTGCAAAAATGAACGTTGCTTTGTTTTCGTGCCTCTTTTACGTCAGCAACGATGATCAATCATCAATCTTTCACAGTGGTTCCGTACTTTTAACATACTATATGAGAATAGTAGTAACTACTCCATGTTTTCAAGATTAAAGCGCACGTACGTATCTGACACAGATGTTTGCCGATATAATATTGGATGGCAACGTGTTTAATTAACGGATCCTATCATGCATTCTTGCCACGAGGAGATTAGGGAGGAAAAATCCCCGGGGTTTCAGTGCAATTGCCTTTAGATTCTGTAAAATATACTATAAGAGTTTTAGATTTTGCCTTGACTCAAAGATACAGACAATGGGGATGGTCAGCTTTGATGGTGGTGGATGTCGTATTACTTGCAATCCTAAGGGTTTTAATTTTTTTTTTAATCAAATTTATGAATATTTTTTCTATCATATTTTACATTTATTTTTTATCCTTTTTCTGTTCAAAAGTTAAATTTATGTAATGGTTTTAAAAAGAGTCAATGAATCAAGGGTTTAAATCAATTTGTACATAAGTTACGCGATTTTTATATGCAAAAATCTAGTTTTAATAGACGTAGAGTCTTATAAAATTTGACAAAAAAATCTAATTTCTGATGTGCTAAAGTTGCATAAATCAATTTCAATTATTTTAGTTGAAATATGACTTCCCAAATAACTTAAATTAGTAAAAGATTTTAGCCTTTGAGCCTTTTTTTTTAATTGTATTCATTTTGTTTTTTCAATTTCTACCACCTTTTGCTTTTATATATTTTTAAATTTATTTTTAATTATTTTACAGTTACAAGGTGTAAGTCTTGTTTATTATAAAATCGAGAAAAACACAATTTTAGTATCCAACCTTTTATTTTTGTTTTGTTTGAGTGCTAAACCTCTTTTTTTTAAATCTATTTGAGTAATTAATTTTTTATTTTTTTATTTGAATATATTCCATCATTTGAAACTGTTAAATGCTGATGCGGTCAATATCAAATAACATGATATCGTTTTATACTGACACATAGTAGAAAATAAGTCACACTCGAAATTATTGAAAAATAAAATCGATAATAGTCATAAACACGCTTGGAGTTTTTCCCTCCTAACTTCAGCTTTTATGTTTGTTTTCAGTGAATTGAATATCTCAAAATTGGAAAAGAAAAAAAAAAACGTAGATAGAAGGACCAAGAGCCGGTATGTAGAATTTTATAAATGCAACTCCATCCATCAAAGAGTTTTAAGATGAGACTTGAATTAATTTTTTCATCCTAATACTTTAATGAGCCCAAAATCTCATGCATAAAGCAATTAATATACTTATGTTATATTAATCGATTTTATGTTACATTGAGTTATATCAATTATCAATTAATTATTACAACTTATAAGTTACTTCATTTAATAAAATCTAACTTAGTTTATTAGTTGTTATAACATTTTAATGTAATTATGAGACTATTTATAACATTCTCTCACTTGATCAAATAATAGTTTAATAGTATTTTTTATCTTTGGACGATTACGATTGGGGTAAATTGAGATCTATACTATTAATTTGGTCAATTTTGACCTTGAATTATCCTATTTTGAGCAAATATTGTGCATCCGTTTGATTTGACTGTTCGTATTCATAAAAAACCTTTAATTTTTTTTTTGGTATTTTCAACTGAAATTTTTCATAAAATCCAATTAAAAAAATACAATTTTTAAAAGGGTATTGCTAAATCCACCATGTGTTTTGTTATTCTCACCAATTTTTTATTTTAAATTACTAACAAACCCTTACATCTAATCGTTATCTAGTCACTAACTTGATGTGTGGTGGTGAGTTGGTAATTTACAATAAAAAATTTGGTGGGAATGACAAAATATTTGGTGGATTTAGCAATACCCTTTTTAAAATTAGATTCTATGAAAAATTTCAGTTAAAAATAATTTCAATTTTTTTTATTTGGAAGTTTTTTTTTTTTTTTTGTTGAACAATGAAAATTTAATAAATTATAAAAAATAGAAAATAAGCTAAAATTATCTCAATTTTTGTTTTAGAAGCTCTAAGGAGATTATATGAATTTACATTGGTAATTTTAATATGGTTTTCAAAATTTTTACATATGTGATTTGTCAAAATTGACCTATTTTAAGTTTAGTTAGGTGTTACACATTCAACCAATATTTTTTATACTCGTCAAAACTCTAAATAAATACAATACGATACCACTTGCTAAGAGTTATGTAGTGATAAGGGTTTTTTTATATATATATTCCTTCTTTATTTTCCTATCTAAACTACTATGATATAAGAAATATCATAGTCCTTAGTATAAGAAGTATCACAATGCTTATGATAGAAGTATCATTATAACAAATTAAGTTTTATGACTTCATATAATTTAATAAGTGCATCTTGTTTTGAATAAGGAAGAGGTAATTACCTTTTTTTTTTCCCCTTATTACTTCTTATTTATAGACTATTGTTCTGTTTTCTTTTTATTTTTATTTTCTAGATAAGCATCTTGTAACTACATAAGCATAAAAAATTATTTATTTCCCTCTTAATTTTTTGGATTCCCATGCTTTTACATGCGAGTTATTCATGTTTTCTTATAAAGGGCTAAGGATTCTAAGAAACTGCAAACTAAATTAGGATCTAAGAATATTGAGAAGTTGTCTAATACGGATGACAAATATCTCGAATTAGAGGACATGAACCAAAATGATGGCTCGGGTCATTATATGAAAATAAGAATGATGATTGGTATGCCAAGGAAAAAACAATAGGTCCAAACGAGCAACACGTCAACGATTGTATACCCTCACTTGAAAAAGACATCATGGATATTATGGGTTGGGCTTGATGGCCAAAAATGTGAATAAAGACAGACCCTAACAAGATCCGGAGAGCAAGTATTTAATAAAGGTACTTTCAACCACCTCTCTAGTCTCATCAATAGTACATATGACACACCTATTAACACTAAACCACCTACATGTCTCATAAAAAATACAAATCAGTTAGGTGGGTCCAAAATTCCTTAAAGAGTGACTACCTCTTATAAGATATGACATCCTTAAAGAATGACTACCTCTTATAAGACATGCCGTTCTCCAGAAGAGCTTAAGAATCCCGTTATCTTAGGACACACCGACCTAAAAAAGAAGATATTACTCTCTTTCACTATCATTAAAAGAGACAAAGTATTTAATAAACATTTTTAAATGATGACATTAATCGGATCATCACTCATTATAATCAAACTAATACCTTCATAAAGTATATACAATGATAGTAGAGCACTAATACTTGTCAACTCATCCACTAACTTTAAAAAAAATGACACTTATATCTTTTTAACTATACAAATTGCATCTACAACTTGTCTATATAAAGGTCTAAACCACTATAGAGGAGTAAGTTTAAAACATACTCTTAATACGGGTTTTATATCCCGCACAATTCCATCTCTTCTATATATTACACATAAATAGTTAAGTACTTGTATAAAAGAGTCTCTTCGGATTAATTCATCG